TATATATATATATATTAATACACACATTTTATATTTATTGCACAATATATGTATACAATTAGTTATATATAATAAGTTATATACAATTTGCCATCCCCTAGAATATTTTTCGGCTACTCGTCGAATTATCGTATCTTATCTTATCAATTCATACAATCTTAATTATCATTAGGCAAACTTGAAATCACTTCTCTTAAGAGAATTTTGCAAGCTTTGCATTTGCATTTACGAATTCTTTACATTTTGTATAGCCTTTTCTTCCTTTTCTTTATGCAAGTATTTCAATCAAATTTTAAAATGGTTTCTTTGCTATTATGCCATGCATCTCATCCCTGATTTTATAAAACTCTTGCAAATATATATTAATTATTTTTTCATCTTCTACTATTTCATGTCTTTGTTTTGAGTTTTGGCCTCTTTCTTTCAAATTGTGATCGTAATCAGAGAACTCGAGAGAAACAAGATGATCAAAATATTTGTCTCGAAATGCAACTTTGTTCCTTCCTTTGTTCATTTTGATATTTCTCTCTTCAGTTAAACGAATCAGCGGCGATCTTTTTTCTTCTAATTCTTGTGATACAAATTTCTTCTTCTCTAAAAGAACCTTTTTCATCCTTTCTTGCTGTCGCAGTTTCCACATAATATCTTTAGATTTTGGCATTTTACGTATTTTCTCTTCAGCTTCCAATCTTAATCGTTCCTCATGTTCTCTGTGAAGTTTTATCCTTGTCATTTCGAGTTTTAACCTGCGTTCCTCGTCCGCTCTTGCTTGCCTTCTAGCAACGATGGTCGCATCGTTTTGGAGAAAATCTTTCTGCCACGAAGAAAACATTTTTTTTCTTCTTACTTCTCTCCATATATATTCTTCGAACCAGTCCACTTTTTTAAGTATGTCATCTTTAATCTCCGCTGGTTCCTCAAAAATACGAAAGACGCTGTTGCAATCACCAGCGCCGATTAGTTTGAAGTCTTGTTTACACAATCCCCGAAGTGACAAAAGAGTTATCGGCTTTCTGGAAATAGTTTGCATGAGCACTGGTTTGTTTGCCTTTCTTTCGATATCCCAAATTTCCAGATCGCCCAGACTAGTACCCATTAGGAAAATTCCTGGATGATTACTCCAGCAACATGCGGTATACGCCCAATCGGATTTTCGTCTGAACACTGGAAAGTTTAAGTGATCGTCTTTCCAAATAGCAAAAATGTGACCGCCCATCGTCAGCAGAATGTCCGAAAAATGCGGCGATCGTAGAATCGCTGCAACAGGACCATCGTGTGCAAAAGTGCAATCTAGAAGCTTGCACTCGTCTACACCGGATGTTTCCACGTCAAACATCTGGCTCTCCCAGGTGCAACAAACGAAGTGTCCCTGCGTCGTACCAATCCATAATCTCTTTGTGTCATCTTTACCCGTGAAATCCAACTCATCATAACGCTTACCGCCTTCTTGAAAAATGCAGACTGATGGAAGACACAAGTAAAGAGGTGTGAAAAATGGATCGTTATAAGGTCGAACATTCAAGCGATATGTCGGTCGAAAAAATTCATCAAGAATCTTGCAATCACTTGGTTTCAGCTGGGAGATAATGGAGTATCTCAAAAGATCCCAAATAGCAACGGTACCATCCTCGGAAATCGTCATAAACTGACAACTCGTACAAGTGGATAGTTTCGTTAGTTTTCCGGATGGTTCTATCCTGTAATTATCAGGAAGCCATTGTATTTGACGAATTGGCAGTTCGTGTGAATAATTTCGATCAGACATTATCGCTACAACATCTTGAATGCAAAACTCGAGCTTAATGTCTGCTCGATTTTCTATTTGTTCGTGAATATTCCAAACAACTACTTGTCCCGATGCGGAACCGCCGATTACAAAGTCACCGTTCGTCGGGCAAAAGGAGATACAGTAAATTTCCTGGTCGCATCGCAATAACAGTCGTGGCCGAAGAGAGTCCGTGAGAGACCACAACAATACTATTGGCTCCGTTTTTGACATAATGTTATACTCGATATCCGACGAGAAACGGATAACTTCCTGCAACGGTACGGTAACGTAGGAAATAGCCACATAATCGATGAGACACGGATGCCAGGAAACGTCGGAGATAACCTTGCCTATCGTCAAGCGTAAATCGACGAGGGAGGATCGGTCTACGTAAGTGATCTCATCCCGCAGCCGAATTATTTCAAACTTTTGCTGTGCAAGTGTCTCGATATCGTCTATGTGTACGTTTACGACCGTGTTATAGCATACGGCATCAATCATTACTTGCGCATGATCTTCCAAGAAGAGCGCCAATAAACTTTTGCTCTCCACTGGCTTCTTTTCCATTTTGACATCAAACATCTCTTTAGACCCCTCGCTCTCTCTCTTCTCTTCCAACTCCTCCGATTTCTCCTCAGTTGATCCTTTTTCCTTTTTTCCAAATTCACCATTATCGATATCCGGCCTTAGAGTATCTTCGTAGATATATTGAGTCCAGGCGTTCTTGGGATAACCGGGATAAGTTTGCACTTGGATTTCTCGAGGCTCAAAGTGCGTTTGGATCATTCTAGAAATGCATTTCTTTTCGATATTCTCGAATTCCTCGTATGGAATTAATTCTACGTAACTATCCCAAGATTTCTCTGAAAATCTATCACAGAGGTTTCGATTTAAGCCCAAAGACTTGATCGGAAAGCATATTTGCATCTCGAAAAATTCTCTCGTATTTCTGATCAAACTCCCATCTAACGCTGTCTCACTTCCGAGCGACTTCCAAGATCTGCCGGTCTTCCTGATTTTGTGGATAATTTTACTCCGGATTCTCTTGCTGACGTCGGCGTTTCTTTCCAGTATCGCTGACTTTGCATCTTCTGTCAAGCAGATGACAAAGTCGCGAGCAATCAATCGAGTTGATGAATAACCTATGAGGAAAGTATCGCTACTATAAGCTTCAATCTTGTCTCGATATGATTCCAGCGATGAGCCCGTTACATTGGCAAATCTCAAAACAGTTTCTCGCGGCACATAGGCCCAAGGATATTCCAGAAATACATGCTCGCCGACCAAACAACCCAATTCTCGCTGAACTTCGGGAGCGAGGCTAATGTGCTGCACATTATCGATCTTTTCGTCGCGTAGAATCCAACTCGGAGATCGGCATTTGACCACTTTCCTCAACATTATTCTTATGGCTCGTAACGACACACATGTAATAATCATTCTGAGGGCAGTTTAGCCACAAATGTTTCACGATATCGATCAAACAACGCCATTTCTTGTGGTTTCCAAGTTCAATTTTTATGAAAGACGATGGAAGATTATATATACAGGGTGTCCCAAAGCACCCTTGACAACGCTCGTGAGCAGGTAGAGCACAGTAAACTTAACAGAAAAGTCCTGTACCATTTTTTTCTATAACGCTTAATAAAGGAGTTATTATTGAATAAAGTCTGGTCAATCAGCTGACCTTGGATAGTCATTTGAAGGTCACATGAAAGTTACTTTCAATTTCTTAAATGGAAACCCCCATTTTTCATTACATATTCTTATAACTTATGTCGAAAACTTTCCAAAACACTATAATAAAGTATTTTTTCATTAACTACTTTTTGAGTTATTTTATATTTTAGTCTGACATATTTTGATATAAAAAATAAAATATCTCGTAAAATATTTAGTTCTCGATAATCTTACTGTAATACTTTTATGTACAGAATAATAACACAAATCAATCAGTGTAAAGAAAAAAACAAATAATTGTTTAAAAAAATACACTGTAAAAGTATTACGATAAGATTATCGAAAACTAAATATTTTACAAGATATTTTATTTTTTATATCAAAATATGTCAGATTAAAATATAAAATAACTCAAAAAGTACTTAATAAAAAAATACTTTATTATAGTGTTTTGGAAAGCTCTCGACATAAGCTATAAGAATATGGAATGAAAAATGGGGTTTTTCATTTAAGAAATTGAAAGTGACCTTCATGTGACCTTCAAATGACTATCCAAGGTCACATCAATGGCACCATCTTATGTCCCCCTTCGAACTAAACAACTTTTGTTTGAAACGTTTTTCCGTATCTTCCATATTTTTCGAGATATTTGACTGGCTCTTTTAAAATGGACCACCCTGTATATATATGTATACGAGGGCTGTATGATAAGTACCCGTGTTAGGGAAGAAAAGGCATTTTTTTAAATTTTTTTTATCTATTTCTCAACATAGTCTCCTTTCAGCTCGATACACTTAGTCCAGCGATATTCCAACTTTTTTAAGTCATCCAAAAAATATGATTTGTCGAACTCTGCAAAATAGGCCTCTGTTTCGGCGATGACCTCCTCGTTTGACGTGAACCGCTTTCTGCCAAGCCGTTTTTTCACGTTTGGAAACAAAAAGAAATCGCAGGGCGCCAAATCTGGAGAATAAGGCGGATGAGGCAGCAGTTCGTAGCGTAATTCGACCAGTTTTACTGTGGCGATTGCGGACGAGTGAGCTGGTGCGTTGCAAACAAACACAAACTTGCCCACTTTCAACAGCTATCAAAATAAAACTACTCGATAAATCTGTCTGAAATTTTGACAGGCGTCGTTCGAAAGATGGCGTTAAACGATGGTATACAGATTTTGAGTCAGTGGCGCTATCAGTCGTT